CTGATTCGCAACGTTGGAGTTTCGCCATTTGAAGTCCGCGGTGTCCAAGCTGGATACACTCGGCGGCCGCCGCCGAACACGTTAAACAGAAACGCGAACCGCAAGTGCTGTTGCGCCCCATGCTGTCTTGGCCCAGACTGCACTCATTCTCCTTAGACAAGGCGGAATTCGAGCGTCACGAATTCGTTTCGCGTTAGCTTTTGTACATCCACGGCAGTCCTTCATCGGTCCTGCGGAGACCCCCCTCGAGGTGCCCCCCAGAGGTGGACGCCCGAAATGGGTACGGAAAGAATGGGTACAATGCCCAACAACAAGTGTTGTCCCAAACCAGCAGCGGCCGCTGTTGGGCAGGCGGCCTCCTGTCTCGAATGGACACAGGCCGCGGCGGCGTGGACAGCGACTCCCGTTCAGAATGAACAGGAACTGTTGCTGGGCATTGTACCCATTCTTTCCGTACCCAATTCGGAGGTATTTTTTAGTTGTTGTATTTTTGATTGTGTTTGGATTATGTTTGCTGTCTTTTTCCCCCAACCATCCTGTGGTGTTGGGTCCTCGTTTTGAAGAGACGTCGCCCCGCGTTCCTCCTTCCTCCTCCTTCCTCCTCCTCCCCTTCCTCCCCCCTCCTCCCCCTCCCACCCCCCATTCTGGCACACCCCTCACACGTTTCGTGGCCCCATAGGGAGCTCCACCGAAGGCCCCAGTGGCTGCGCCCGCATGCGGTTCCACCCCCCATTCTGGCACACCCCTCACACGTTTCGTGGCCCCATAGGGAGCTCCACCGAAGGCCCCAGTGGCTGCGCCCGCATGCGGTTCCACCCCCCATTCTGGCACACCCCTCACACGTTTCGTGGCCCCATAGGGAGCTCCACCGAAGGCCCCAGTGGCTGCGCCCGCATGCGGTTCCACCCCCCATTCTGGCACACCCCTCACACGTTTCGTGGCCCCATAGGGAGCTCCACCGAAGGCCCCAGTGGCTGCGCCCGCATGCGGTTCCACCCCCCATTCTGGCACACCCCTCACACGTTTCGTGGCCCCATAGGGAGCTCCACCGAAGGCCCCAGTGGCTGCGCCCGCATGCGGTTCCACCCCCCATTCTGGCACACCCCTCACACGTTTCGTGGCCCCATAGGGAGCTCCACCGAAGGCCCCAGTGGCTGCGCCCGCATGCGGTTCCACCCCCCATTCTGGCACACCCCTCACACGTTTCGTGGCCCCATAGGGAGCTCCACCGAAGGCCCCAGTGGCTGCGCCCGCATGCGGTTCCACCCCCCATTCTGGCACACCCCTCACACGTTTCGTGGCCCCATAGGGAGCTCCACCGAAGGCCCCAGTGGCTGCGCCCGCATGCGGTTCCACCCCCCATTCTGGCACACCCCTCACACGTTTCGTGGCCCCATAGGGAGCTCCACCGAAGGCCCCAGTGGCTGCGCCCGCATGCGGTTCCACCCCCCATTCTGGCACACCCCTCACACGTTTCGTGGCCCCATAGGGAGCTCCACCGAAGGCCCCAGTGGCTGCGCCCGCATGCGGTTCCACCCCCCATTCTGGCACACCCCTCACACGTTTCGTGGCCCCATAGGGAGCTCCACCGAAGGCCCCAGTGGCTGCGCCCGCATGCGGTTCCACCCCCCATTCTGGCACACCCCTCACACGTTTCGTGGCCCCATAGGGAGCTCCACCGAAGGCCCCAGTGGCTGCGCCCGCATGCGGTTCCACCCCCCATTCTGGCACACCCCTCACACGTTTCGTGGCCCCATAGGGAGCTCCACCGAAGGCCCCAGTGGCTGCGCCCGCATGCGGTTCCACCCCCCATTCTGGCACACCCCTCACACGTTTCGTGGCCCCATAGGGAGCTCCACCGAAGGCCCCAGTGGCTGCGCCCGCATGCGGTTCCACCCCCCATTCTGGCACACCCCTCACACGTTTCGTGGCCCCATAGGGAGCTCCACCGAAGGCCCCAGTGGCTGCGCTCGCATGCGGTTCCACCCCCCATTTCGGCACACCCCTCACACGGTTCGTGGCCCCATAGGGAGCTCCACCGAAGGCCCCAGTGGCTGCGCTGGCGGTTCCACCCCCCATTCGGTGGCACACCCCTCGCACGTTTCGTGGCCCCATAGGGGGCTCCACCAAAGGTCCCAGTGGCACTGCCCGCTTGCGTCCGCCACCACCCAGCACAGCCCTTGTTCCCTGCGCTTCACCCACCCAGAACAGCGCTTCGTAGCCCTATAGGGAGCTCCACCAAAGGTCCCAGCGGCACCGCCCGCATGCGTCCGCCACCACCCTGCACAGCCCTTGCTCCCTGCCTGCGTTTCACCCACCCAGTACAGCGTTTCGTGGCCCCATAGGGAGCTCCACCGAAGGTCCCAGTGGCACCGCTCGCATGCGTCCGCCACCACGCAGCACAGCCCTTGCTGACCGCGTCTCACCCACCCAGTACAGCGCTTCGTGGCCCCATAGGGAGCTCCACCGAAGGTCCCAGTGGCACCGCCCGCATGCGTCCGCCACCACCCAGCACAACTGCGGCATTCACAACTGCAGATGGTTGGGTCCTTCGCCAGGCTAATTTATTTGTCGTTGAAAATCTCCCTGTAGGGGTTTAGGCCCGACTTCACCCCAGAGGTGGCGCCCAGTGTTGCCGGGGCTGCGGCGGCTGGAGGCCCTGCCCGGCTGCGCGCACCACGGCCTGCTCGAGGCTCTCGAAAGAGGGCAGAAACTCTGCACAGCCACGCAGGCGCTCGGAGCTCGGCGCGGATCCCAAACCTCCTCGCGCTGTGAGACAAATCCCGACGGGAGGCTTTTCGCCATCCTTCGGCCTCCAGGGGCCCTTCCTGGGCCTCGGAACCGTCAAAAAACGACTCGGGACGAAAAACCGGTCCCAGGACAGGGGTCCAGACCTCTCTCGGGATCGACGCTGCGAAACAATCACACGAACTCAGGGCTCCGCGCGAATGTGCTCTCGTGGCCCCAAAGCTCCCTCCAGCCTGCGCGCCGTAGCACCCGACCCAGACCGAAGGGGCAGCGAGTGTGTTTCTCCCTCCTCCTCCTCCTCCTCGTCCTCTTCCTCCTCCTCCGTTTGCGGATCGAGCTGCTCTTTATACGCATCTACGAGGCCACTCTCCCAGGATCCCCATTCAGCACGATGTACCGTCTTGGGCAGCTGGGCAGGAGGCACTGGCGGCAGCGGAGCGCTCCCGCTCGAACGGACCAGGAGGCCGCAGTGCCAGGCGGGGCCGTTCTGGCTCGGCCTACGCTTCCCGCCAGCGTGGCGGTGGCCGGGGGCCACCCGCGCGCAGGAGCAGTCAGCAGCCCACGCCGCGGGCCGAGCAGCAGCCCAGAGGCGGCAGGGGCGGCCTGGCGGCGCTTCCGACGGCAGTGGGCCGCTCGTGCGGGCTTCCAGGCGGACGCTCGGGAGCGCCTCCCAGTGGTGGACTCGCAGATGGTACAGTCGGGGCCCTGAAGAAGGAACCCTGTTCGTTTGGGAGGGGCTCGGTGTTCCTTAATTGTTTTACACATTGCCTTGGGTTTTCCTGAGGTTTTCCATGGGAAATCGAAGTTTAACCTATGGGGAAAAAGGGCCTCGTTCCTTATTTAGGGTTCCTTAGGTCAACGCCTCGACTGTAGCACGCCTCATGCCGATGCTGGTGAGAGCAGCGCTGGGCAGCTCGCGCAGTATTCGAATGCCGATGGCTGCAGCGCTCGTGACGGTGCTGATGGACGAGGGCAGTGCGCGCGCGTGAAGGCCGCGCTCCGGGCCGGCATGGCCCATGCGACCGAGGCTGCCAAGACGAGGGAGGCACACTTGTCACATGGGGGACAGCAACAATCAAGCATGGCGATGCGTCCTGGCTCGCCTATACATAGTTTAGCCCTACCAAACAATGTTCTAAGAACCTTTTGTGGTTTCCACGAAATGTCCTCAGAACATGTCTGGCGGAGATTTGTCTTGTTTCAACACATCGGGCTTACGTTCTAAGAACATTGTGTTTGTTCTTAGAACATTGTTGGGTTCTAACAACACTTCGTGGTAGGACTATAGGAATGCCGGGACGGTCGGTCCCTGCTCAAATGGGGGACAGCAACAACCCTTGACCAGAGAAGCAGATGGTCCCAGCGTGCGTGCAGATATTCCTGGTGGTAGCGCGGAAAGCGACAGAAGCTGGAGACTCGGTCGGAATGAAGAACGCGAACGCCTGGGCCGAGGTCCAGCAACGCCTCGGCAGCTGCGGCGACGTGAGCGAGCTGGCGCTGCTGGTCAAGGGGCGCAGGGTCTCGAGCGCCTTCGAGGAGGGCTCCGCGAAGATGGTCTTCGCACTCGGGGATCCCATCATGACGAAAGGCTCCCTCGCGTGCGCGGAGCAGCTCGGGGGCGACGTCACAGAGGGCACGGCGCCCAGGTCGCGCAGCGAGCGGGTGCTGCGGCTGGCGCTCGACGAGCTCGATTCTATGACGCACCCACAGCTGCCCGAAGACACGGCGGAGCAGGATGAAGAGGGCATCCTGCCACCCGTGTGCACCGATGCGCGGCCAAAGGGGGTGGTCGGGGTGTGCTCCGTTTGGGATGGGCCGTAGGGGTTCCCTGCGGTCACCCCGCAGCCCCTGCAGGGACGTCTCTGACGCCCCTGCAGGCACCCCGGCTTCCCCGCATTGTGGGCCGTCCTGCGGCGCCTCGTTGCTACGCGGCGAGGAGAGCGTTGCTGGACGGAGGAACATGCGCGAGGGACCAGAGGATGCGACACCTTTGGGAAGGCAGAGCACCGCACCTTTGACAGTGTAGAGGTCATTGCAGTTGACCTCAGCTGCCCGTTCTCGTTCGATTGAACCCTCGGGAAGGATGTCACGTTCTCGGGGGGAAGGACGGCGGAGCCCTTGGGAAGGATTTCGCAACCTCGAGGAAGGTCGGCGGAGCGTTTGGGAGCGACTTCGTCGAGCAGGAGGGGAACCGCTGGTGACGCCCAGGAGTGCCGCTCCATCGCCGCTGCCAGCCAGGACCTCTTCCTTCCTCAGATCCCCCCCTGGTTCGAGCCCTCCCTCGCCTTGCCTGCCCCCCTCCTTCAAAGAGCGGGTAGCTTACGCCGCCAAGTTCTGGGCCAGTCCGTGAGGTTCTGGGGCCCACAGCGGTCCTGGTGCGTGTTTCCACGCTTCTGATTACGTAGAGCCCCGGGGCCCTTGAGGGCTTCTCCTGGTTTGTTCTTGTTTCGGCCCGTGGTCGAGCGAAGACAATTCGGGTCTCCCACCTCGGGAGTGGGCACTTTCATAAATCGCTGGGTACAGCGCGCGATAGGTCGCTCGTCGCCGAGTTTTCCCCTCGCGATGTGTTCATTGCTGCGTAGCTTCAACCTTCGATATCGGTCCGCCGCCTCCTCCTCCTCCTCCCTCCTCCTCCTCCTGGAGGAGGAGGAGGAGAGAGGAGGAGGAGGAGGAGGAGGAGGAGGAGAGGAGGAGAGGAGGAGGAAGAGGAGGAAGAGGAGGAGGAGGAGGAGGAGGAGGAGGAGAAGGTTTTGGAACAGGAGGAGGAGGCGGAGGATGAGGAGGAGGAGGAGGAGCACAAAGAGCGACGGGGAGGGGCCCTATCGGGCTCCGCGCGACAGGAAGGGGGGTCCAGCGCCGATCCAAACTGAGCGCGTTCCACTACTCGCAGAGTGCCTACTCGCAAACGTCCGAAAAGGAGATGTTCGCCTCGATGTAATAGATCGTAGATCCCCCGCGGCGGATCCACGCCATTTCCGAGTAGCTACTTTGCGAGTAGAGGAACGCGCTCGTCTAGATCCGACAGTCTGGTTCTGTTCATGCCGCTTCTGTGCCTCTAGAGGCGCCGGAGCTCTACCTGCGAACGGTCGGCGAGTTCCTGGCGCAGATCGACCTCGAGCGGGCGTCGTGACTGCCAGCGGCCCCAGACCCGCGACGTCGTGATTCTTTCGAAACGTCGACCCCCAGAGGTCTGGACCCCTCCCCCGGGACCGGTTTTTCGTCCTGGTTCGTTTTCTGACGGCCCCGAGGCCTGGCAGGGGCCCCGTGGAGGCCGAAGGATGGCGAGAAGCCTCCCGCTGCGATTTTTTTCTTTCTCACCGCGCGAGGGTGTCTGGGGCTGCCGCGGCCTCCTCGATCGGCGCGCGCTGGGGCGCTGCCGTGCCGCGGGGCCCCCTCGCTGCGCCGGGGCACCTTGCCCTCTGCGGGCGGGCGGCGGGCGAGCGGCCGGCGCGGAGGAGGGGGCGCGCGGGAGCGAGCGCCGGGCGGCGGCCGGGGCGCGCCAGGAGCCTGTCGCGCGGCCCTGGCCGTGGCCGGGCGGTGCGCGGGCTCGGCGGGGCGAAAGGGATCCTTCAGCTCCACTTGGGGGTGGCGTCAACGGGGGGGCGAAAGTTGAGCGCGTTTGCTGGCGCGAGATCGTCTTTTTGTTTCTCGGAAGGCGGCCTGCGCATGTGAAATTTTCCCCCATAAGTTTCGCCCATGCGGCAGTTTGAAAACGCCTTGATGTCGCTCCCTGGGAGGCGGGCTCTTTCCGTGCGCAGAGGGCGTCCCATCTGGACGCCCGACCCAGACCCCCTCGAGTCATGAAAGAATCACGACGGGAGGTTTTTCATGATTTTGGGCCTCTGGGGGCCCTTGCCGGCCCTCGGGGCCGTCAAAAAACGACTCAGGACGAAAAACCGGTCCTGGGGAAGGGGTCCAGACCTCTGGGGGTCGCCGTCATGAAAAAATCATGACGTCGGGGGTCTGGGGAGATGGGTACGGCAAGAATGGGTACAATGCCCAGCAGCAGTTCCTGTGCATTTCGAGCAGGGCTCGCTGTCCGCACCGCCGCGGCCGGTGCCCATTCGAGGCAGGAGGCCGCCTGCCCAACAGCGGCCGCTGTGGGTTTGGGACAACATTTGTTGTTGGGCACAGTGCCCATTTTTCCCGTGCACATTTCGGGCGTCCAAATCCCAGACCTCCTCGCTGCGTGAAACAAATGCGGCGGGCGGTTTTCACTTTACTTTCGGCCTCCAGGGGCCCCCACCAGGCCTCGGAACCGTCAGAAAACGGTTCGGGATGAGACACCGGTCCGGGGGAAGGGGTCCAGACCACTGGGGGTCGACGCTGTGAAAAAAACACGACGTCGGGGGTTTGGGGACGTCAAATGGGAAGCGGGCCTGCCCACAGGTGCCCCCCACAGAAGGTTCGCGTCACCCGATGAGCTAGGGGGCCCCACACCGAAGCCCTGGGGCACCTTAGGAAACTCAGGGCTCGACGATACGCGTGCTCCCAGATTTTTTGTGGGAAGATGACTTCAAGATGAAGCGATGCAGAAACCTGCCCCCTTCCTTCTGTTGAAAAGGTGACGCATCCAGCACAGGGGAGCTTTATCCTGGCCCCTGGAGGAGGAGGAGGAGGAGGAGGAGGAGGAGGAGGAGGAGGAGGAGGAGGAGGAGGAGGGAAGAGAGGGGAGGAGGAGGAGATGAGGAGAGGAGGAGAGGAGGAGGAGAGAGGTTTGGAAGAGGAGGAGGAGGACTGGGTGCAGGAGGACAGGGATGATGATGATGAGGAGGAGGAGGAGGAGGAGGAGGAAGGAGGAGGAGGAGAGGTGGAAGAGGAGAGAGGAGGAGAAGGGAGGAGGAGGAGAAGGAGGAGGATAAGGAGGGATGTGGAGGAGATGTCTGATGGGCGTCTGCTGGGCGGCCCGCCCGCTGGCAGGCCCAGAAGCTCGGACGGTGATCAGCCGCCTGCCTGCTGCCTGCTGGCGGCCCGCCCAGCTTCTCGTTCGACTACTCCTCTCTCTTCTCCTCCTCCCTGTCCTCCTCCTCCTCCTCCTCCTCCTCCTCTCCTCCTCCTCCTCATCCATGTCCTCCTCAACCCAGTCCTCCTCCTCCTCCTCTTCCAATCCTCCTCCTCCTCCTCCCCCTCCTCCTCCTCCTCCTCCTCCTCCTCCTCCTCCTCCTCCTCCTCCTCCTCCTCCTCCTCGTAAGAGTGACCGCTCGCCAGAGTGACCGTTGGTGCGGGCCCAACGGGGTCCCCCGATCGCCGAGTGCGAGGCGATAGCAGCGGCTTGCGCGCCTGGCGGTGTTCCCCAAGGGCCACCCCCTTGGCCGCGCACTGAAGGTCACTCTTGCCTAGGGTCAGGCTCGCGTGTAGCCGACTCGTGTGCGCACTATTCAAGAACATGTTTCAGCGGGGACAATTCGATGCGCCCCGCCAGGGGGTGGGGTGTCACCCTCCATTCGTCGTCGAGTTTCGACGCGCACGGGAGGCCACACACAGTAAGCTCGTTGCCCGTTGTGTGGCACGTCTTACTGCCCCTTGGTTGTCGGACTGCGGCCGCCCCGCCGCCGCCGCCTCCTTGCCCTCCCTTCCTGCCGCCGCCCTCGCCTCCCCACCCCTCGCCGTCGACGTCACCGCCAACGACGTCGTCCTCCTTGCGCAACGTGCCGACGTCGTCGCCGTCCGTACCGTCCTCCTCCTCGTCGTCCTCTTCCTCCTCGTCCTCCGCCTCCTCGGCGTCCTCCTCGCCACGACTGGAGTCGACTGAAGGCATGGGAGTGCCCGCTGCCTGTTCTGGAGAGGGGAGCGAGGAGGGAGAACGACGGCAAGAGCACGAACAAAAGGGCAAGGGACGAGGGATCAACCACAGTTATGCAGCATGCTTCGTCCTCCTCTTCCTCCTCCTCCTTTTTGACGTTGCGCCAATTTGAATCCTCGGATTGTGGCGGTCTTGCAAACACACATTCGACACATTGAAGTCAGGCCCTGGTATTGCAGCAGCGCGAGTCGGCGAGAACCATGATATGCAAGACAGTTGGGATCAGCAGAGATTCAAGAGTATGCTGCAGCCTGGGTGTAGCAAGGATGGCTCCACTTCTCATCGATACCCATCCGCCCCTCCAATTCACATCTACCCGACGCTCCTAAAGGACATGGGTGGCCCTTAACGAAGGCCTACAGCGCACAGTGCTAATGTTATCATGCCCTGAGCTCGATTCGGGCCAATGTACCGATGCACGTCGAGCTGGATTGAAGCGGTACCGAGGCCGAAGGTCTTGGCGGTTAACACGCTCGCAGCTGTCGACACGCACGGTCTGATATTGTCCTCCTTCACCAAGACCCAACCTTTTATTCGCACATCCCCCACTATCCCCTCAATTTGCAGCGCTGCACCGCTCAAGGCGGCTTAGTCAAGAAGCCAGGGCCGATTCCCTTCCAGCCTGCCCTGACAGAGGATCCTAGACAACTCAAGATCGTGCTTCTGCCGCTGGCGTTCGATCCTCCTCCTCCTCCTCCTCGTCCGCCTCCTCCTCCTCCGCCTTCTCCTCTTCCTCCTCCTCCCTCCTCCTCCTCCTCCTCCTCCTCCTCCTCCTCCTCCTCCTCCTCCTCCTCCTCCCCCTCCTCCCCCTCCTCCTCCTCCTCCTCCTCCTCCTCCTCTCTCCTCCTCCGCGCGCTGCGCCGCACGCCAGGCCGCCCGGGAGCTCGGGGAGGCACGCGCTCGCCCGCCCTGCCGCCCAGCGCCCCGCGCGACGGGGCGCCGCCGCCGTCGCTGCCGCGGTCGGCCGACCCCGCCACCCCCAGGGGAACGTTTGCTTGTCAGTCCGCGGGCAGAAGCGTTCTGACAAGACTCGTCCTCCTCCTCCCCTCCTCCTCCCTCCTCCTCCGCCTCCTCCTCCGCCTCCTCCTCCTCCACTCGCCTCCGCCTCCTCCTCCTCCCTCCTCCTCCCCCTCCTCCTCCTCCTCCTCTTCCTCCTCCTCCCCTACTCCCTCCGCCTCCTCCTCCCCGCCGCCTCCCTCCTCCTCCTCCTCCTCCCTCCTCCTTCCTCCTCCCCTCCTCTCCTCCTCCGCCTTCCCTCCTCCTCCTCCTCCTCCTCCGCCTTTCGTCCCCCTCTTCCTCCTCCCCCTCATCCCCCTCCCCTCCCCCTCATCCCCCTCCTCCTCCCCTTCCTCCTCCGCCTTCTCCGCCGCCTCCTCCTCGTCCTCCTCCTCACCCTCCTCCTTCTTGTCAGTCCGCGGGCACAAGCCAGACCCCCTCGCGTCGTCACAAAACTCACGACGGGCGGTTTGTTGCCATTTTCGGCCTCAGGGGACACCCTCATGGGGCCTCCGGGCCGTCAAATTCAGCCTGGCGAAGGGCCCAATCATAATTATGCAGTTGTGGGTGCCCTCGTTGTAAGTATTGGCGTCGGTGGATCTTCTTATGGGGCCACGACGAGCGTGAAGGGTGTGCCGACATGTGGCGGGACCGCCATGCGGGCGCTGCCACTGGTGCCTTCGGTGGAGCTCCCTATGGGGCCACGACGCGTGTGAGGTATTCACGGGAATTCGCATGCGGGCGTTGTCTCTGGAGCCTTCGGTGGAGCCCCCTGTGGGGCCATGAAACGTGTGAGGGGTGCCCTGGAATGAGGATGGAACTGCATGCGGGCGCTGCCGCTGAGGCCTTCGGTGGAGCTCCCTATGGGGCCACGAAACCTATGAGGTGTGCAGTGAAATTGGGGTGGAACCGCATGCGAGCGCTGCCGCTGGGGCCTTCGGTGGAGTTCCCTATTGGGCCACGAACCGTGTGAAGGGTCTCAAAATGAGAGTGGAACCGCATGCGAATTTTGCCACCGGGGCGTTCGGTGGAGGTCCCAATGGGGCCACGAACCGTGTGAGGGTGGTGCCAAATTGTGGGTGGAACCGGATCGAACTTTGCCACTGGGGCCTTCGGTGGAGCTCCTTACTGGGCCTCGAAATGTGCAAGGGGTGTCCCAGAATGGGGGTGGAGCCGCATGCGAACTTGGCCACTGGGGCCTTCTGTGGAGCCCCATTGGGCCACGAGGCGTGCAAGGGGTGTACCAAAATGGGGGTGGAGCCGCATGCGAACTTTGCCACTGGGGCCTCCGATACGGCTCCCTATGTGACCACGAACCATGT